GGTTCCAGGTCCAAAATATAGGCCCGGAATTTGGCTTTAATTTGATTATTTTCATGATCTTTCTCAGTCTGTCTACAACGAAATATTTATAATCCTTTTCATTGGGTTTTTGCTGCTGGATTTCAATTTGTCTTCTGCTTTCGGGATTGAACTGCTTCGAATTTTGAGTATTATCCAACGTTTCGGCAAACATTGCATTTAACATCTTCAGTATGTACATATTACGTTATTCTCATTTAGCCCTGAAGATGGCAACTGAAATGCCTGCCGAAACGCTAGATAATTCACAATAATAGACGCGACTAACACCCGAAATCCGAAATTACACGCCATATGGATACTTTTATTTCGCGTTTTTTTGTAATTTGTCATAACGACTGCGTATCTGAACGGTGTGACGGGTTATAAATTGCAAATTGCCTTTAAATGACAAGGAATCAAGGAGTAAGAAATGAAGTCCAAAACACAGAAACAAAACAATGGATGGTTTGTTACAGCGACTGTGATGTAGACTGCATTTAGAATCTCGGCTGAGTTACCTGACATTCTGACCGGGTTTCTACTTGTTTTCTCAGTCATTACAATCGAATTAAAAATTTATACATATTGAAATAATTCTCTAAACACTTCATTGTTTATTTTAACTGTCTAATCACAATAAGATGTTTTATTAAATATGAAAATATTAAAATATTATTACTATAATTAACATTTAATATTTAAAACATTTAAAATATATTAAAATATATATTAAAATGAAGCTCTTTCTATCGAAATGTTCGATTTACAATTAGATCATCATCATTTTCACGACATGTTTCGGTTTTCAATGAACCATCTTCAGGTGTATAATCGATATAAATTTAAATGTAATATTCTAAATGCAATCCTTCGTCAGATGTCCATTAAATATCGGAAAGTTATCCTCTTCTAGATCAATTGTACTTTGTTATCACATTCAATGTTGTTTCGTAAATGTATGTCGCGTATAGCGTGATCTTGCGTGGGTGAAATATTTGTAGTGGTTTTTTATAATCGGCCAGATATGAAGAGTGGAGGAGGTCCGTCTGGAAGTAATGTTGTATATTTTAAATATTTTAAATATTAAATGTTAATTATAGGAATAATATTTTAATATTTTAATATTTAATAAAACATTTTATTATGATTAGACGATTAAAATAAACAATTATAATCATCACAATATGACGCAACAATATCACCTCATGAATAACACTTCAGTTAAACGCCCGAAATTTTTATACTTACCTCATTAAAATATCCCGATTAACACCCCCAATGAATGAATAATTACATGAAGCCGACTTTACTGCGCTCAGACTGTAAATAAGCCGAATATTAAGTTCGCATTATTATGTTGATAGTATAAAACTCAACTGGAAAGTCTGCACATTGGGAACCAACGTTAAAGGAAGTGATGGTTTGAATGGATAGATCGTTGTGAAGTAATATAGATATCGTACATGTTAGTACATTTTCATTTTGAATTTATCTATTTCAGGATTTATAACAACTAACCTACTTTGCTGTGTTTGTAGAAAAGCATTACTACGCTTTTCCCTTGTTTACCATTTATATTACATTCGAAATAAATGAACGGGCTGTTAGATTTAGTGCAAAAGCGTTGCAAGGCGTATTTTGAAGATCTTTGTAGAACTGTTTCACAAGAAGGATCCGCAAGACGTAACTCCTCTTTTGTCCAGATTTTAGATTTTGTTTTGTACACTTACTGACTGTTCCTGTATTATCTTTACTGTATTTTATTGAACTTATTTTATTTTATAACACATTGACTTCTTTTACAGCTTTCTTCTAGATAGGTTTCCCCCCGTTCTTTAGCATTTAAATAGCCCTGATCTAATAAAATAATTATTACAATCTGTAACGTGGATGTTGTATGTAACATTTATTTAATGGGTTACTGGATACTGGGAACGACGCGTTCTTCAAGTGCCTCAGCACTGCGGGTCCCAACTTTTCGTTGGCTTGATCTATAGACATTCGGTAGGACTCCTTGGACGAGGGATCGGCCCGTCGCAAGGCCTCTACCTGTACACAGGGCAGCACAACACAGAAAAACGCGGACAAACATCCATGGCTTGAGTGGGATTCGAACCCACGGTCCCAGCGACCAAGCGGCACAAGGCCCACGCCTCAGACCGCGCGGCCACTGCGAACCCCTACCTTTATTTAGGGAATATCAAACACTGATAATTATCGACTCTTAAATTTGAACAGAATAATTTTCGTAGGATTTAACTACAAAATGAAGGCAAAGACTGGGTAATTTTTGTTTTATGTATATTGTTTGATTCTTAATCACTATTTATGTTTTGAAAATGTAGTTTCTAGAAAAACCGATTCTTTTAGTTTAGTTATTTTTTTAAAATGATGTCTCTTGTAAACTGGAATAAGTATATTGGTTTCTGATTTTGATACATTTGATTTATCTCCTTAAATTGTATTGTATATAATGTTAAAACAACTTAGTTTATTTTAGGTATACATTAAAGCGTTGTTTTATGTATTATATTTAGTGTATGATGTTAGAATCAAACACCGTACCATTCCGTGTATATATATAGATTGTCTGTCAGCTAAATTGGATATTAAATCCAAATAGAAATATAAAAAAGAACCAAGAAGGTTAAGTCTTATGCTGTAATTTCCGTTCTTCAATTACATTCACATTGCATTTCATTTTGAAGTCAGTCGTGTTCCCTTGCAATCAAATTTCTTAACATTTTACATACTTTATTCTCCCCCCTTTTTGGTTTCTTTCTGTCATACAGTCACGATATATAAAAGTGAAGTATGTATTCTAAACTTGCGTGCGTCTCCAGACTTACATTAGTCAGTCGGCTGGTAACATAATACAAAAGTGAGCCAAGTGACCTGCAACAACAATACTTAAAACAAACTGTATTATTCGTTTTATTTGAATAAAAATTTTCTTGGATATTATCCATCGTCTAGGAAATAAAATATAAAACGTAAAACGACGTTTCGGATATGGGCCTCTATCTCCGTCTTCAGGTGCCTACTCAGTTGGGCCCGCTCTATCTAACGGAAATTCGTATCGGCTTCGTTTGTGCCACTCACTTTAATTAGTGTGGCTTACCTTGGCTAGCTTAGTGAGTGTTAACTTGTCAAGAAAAACAGATTTTAATATACTGGCCGACATGGGGTGCACAAATTTTAAGTTTAAGTGAATAGGATTTGTCGTAATTCTTCTGGCAAACCGTCATTAAGTGAGGCTGATCGAAGTGATAAATGATTCTATAAGGCTAGTGGGACAATTTTTTCCCCCTGTAGAATGCCACACTGGTATTTAATTTAGAAACACATGTCTTACAATCGTGTTAAAGTATTTGGCTCTGTACTTTTGGAGTTTTTCTTCAAAAGATTGAATATTGAGTTCTTGTAGAAGTTTCTAATTTCTTTTGACTTAAAACTTATTTCGTACAATCTCAGCTTAAACAACTGTAGGTATTTTAATAATCTTAAAACAGATCCGAGTGTTAGAAGCAGTGAGACCTGTTTGTACACTCTTTTATTACTTCTGGATTTATTGAACGACGCTTTATCAACTACCATTGTTTTATAATCAAATTGGAATATGGTTGTGTTGGGAAGG